TACTCCTGTCTTCACTTCAAAGGCATCACTGAGCTTCCCATTGTGAATTACTTGGCATGTGGTGTCTTCATATAGTTGTTGAATAAGGCTGATAAAAGTTTGTGGTATTCCGTAGTGTTGGAGCAGTTGCAAAATTACTTCTCGGTCGACGCTGTCAAAGGCCTTCTCAAAGTTGACGAAGTTGAGGTAGAGAGTTGACCACCATTCTACGCTCTGTTCTGTGATGATGCGAAGCGTTGAATTCGGTCGACACATGCTTTGTTCTTCCTGAATTCAACCAGCATGTTCCGGTCGTAGTTTTGAATCCAGCGCATCCTTTAGGCTCTCCAGGATGATGCGGCATAATATTTTGCTTGCTTTGGGTGGACAGGAGCATGATTCCGCACCAGTTCTCGCAAAGACTTAGGTCGAACTTCTTCGAGAGTTTGGCAAGGTAGCTCGTCTTTCAATCGCCAGGTACTTTCCCTTCTTTCCATGTCCGCTGTTGCCGCTGCGTCTGTTCTCAGTGCTTCTGGAGGGATTCCATCTGATCCTGCTGCTTCCCCGCATTTCAGCAGCCATATGGCATTCAGAACTTCGACCTTAGTTGGAGAGCTTGAGTTCACTTGTAGTTTTGTGGCTGCAGGTGGTATTTCTGGACAAATTGTAGGTGGTGGTCGATTCAAGAGCTTTTCGAAGTGGTCAGCTTATTGTTTCTTTTGTTTCTCTTCTTTGGTAATTAGATTCCCTTCATCATCTTTTATTGGTTTCATCTGCACTGTGTTGATCGCTTCCCTCCCAGATAGTAACCTGGTTATTTGATATAATTTTGTCACGTCTCTCCTACCAGCAGCCTGTTCTGCTTCACTTGCTAATGTGTCGTGGAAGTATCTTTTGACTTTGCGCGCACTCTTCTTCACTTCTTTGTCCAGTATGGTGTTTTATACACTGTACTCAGTTCCTCTTCTCGTCGTTCATCCTTGCACTCGTTCATTTTCTGCTTCACCATCCTCCTCTCCCTGCTCTATCAGCTTCTATATGGAGATCCGTCGAGATCCATTCCTTATCTTCTTTCTTGTTCCTTCCTAATGCGGTTATGCAGGTTTCTTTCCACATAGCTTCCAACCGGTTCCACTGCTCGTCAACACAGGTTTCTTCAGAGATGTTGCTCGATGTCTCCCATTTTGTCTTGATGGTTGACGTGAAGATTTCCTTTGTAGTTTCGTCCTTCATTTTCTGGGTGTTGAACTTGAACTATGGTCTATCACCAACTTCTTTCAAGGTTTTCAAATTGGTTTTGAAGGTTCCTTGCACTAGATAGTGAGTGGTGTGAACCTACATCTGCTCCTCTTCTTGACCTTGTGTCAAGTAGACTGAGTCTCCATTTTCTTGAGATTGAGATAAAATCGATCTGATTTTCAGTGTGTCCATCTGGTGAATGGTGAAATCCATGTCGCTCGCTTTGTGGATATCCTTGTGCTTGAACACACTGCCTCCAATTACCAAATCTTTGAATGAACAGAATTCTGCAGACATTTCTCCATTCTCGTTCATCACCTCACCGAGTGCTTCTCGGCCAATAGTTTGTTCTCTTCCTATGTTGTCCCCTCCCAGTTTGGCATTCATGTCGCCCATTAGAATTTTGATGTCACCAACTGGGGTCTTGTCCAGTGTTGATTGAAGTTGTCTGTAAAATTCCTCTTTTCTCTTGCTCTGCATTATTTGTAAGTTTTTAGCATTGTATGATTGTGACCTTCCTTCCTTTTGAGTTGAACATTGCTGTTATGATCCTGTAGGAGATTGGTTCCCACTGTATGAGAGCCTTCGATGTTTTTGGGGACATCATGATAGCTACTCCAAAACTGTGTGCTCGTAGTTGTCGTCTGGTTGACAATATTGGAGTAGATTATTGATTCTCCAGTTGAAAGTTTGGAGAGTCTACTTCCATTCCATCTGCTCTCGCAGATTTCTAGCACTCCAATGTTATGCCTTCTCATCTCCTTTGCAATCTGGGCAGCCTTAGTAGGTTCAAACATAGTGCGGACATTGCATGTCCCCAATCTTACTTTCGCTTTCATCGAGAGAAGCGAAGACACATCGGCCGACTGGCTTCCCGAAGGCAGGCTTTCACCAACCGGAGTCATTTCGTCTCTCCGATTCCAGTGAGGAGTAATTTTGTTTTTATTTTTTATATTTTGTCCGTGCTTTTGAGTTTCTGTAGCGGTTGGATATGTTTTACGGGGTAGGGTTGCTAGCCCTATGCCAAACCTTCCCTCTTTATCCGGGTTTAGGACCGGCTTCTAACAAGTGAACTAGTTAACCAGGCGAGGTTATCAAAGTGTTAGGTAGTGTTTAAAAAATCAAGATACAACGCAACCCGTTACAGATATGTATGTAGTACACCGTGAGATGTACTTATGGTGTGATTATTACGTATGATCAATAAACATTCATCTTTTTATACAAAAAAAGAATTTAGAAATACAGACCGCTCAGCAAAGTACATGTTATACAGACTTTGTTTCAAGTCTTCATACTTAGGGACAATATGGCGTGAAAACTAATTAAGATAATCAGTTCAACTGGATGATCATTAGATCGGTATGAGAAGTATAGTTTAATAAAGAACACCGAAAAGTATACAACGAAATGAAACGATTACTAACCTAAACACGAAGGTGCAAAGTACCCCTGATGCAGGAATACTAAGACAAGAAACGAAAACTATTTTTCACAGAAGTGATTCTGTGAAAACATGACGTATCTTTAAATAGCAACTGTACAAGTACTTAGCTAATGACCTGGAAATACATAACAACAGAATTCTACTCAAAGTGATAATAGCTTTGAAAATGCAAACTGGAATGTCAAAAATAAATAACACTATCCTTTTAGCTTAAAACCAAACAGAGAGAAAAAAGAAAACAGTTAAAATAACACACTTAAAACCCGTAAACGCAGTAAAGATAGAGGAGCAGATATTCCAAACGCGTAAAGTAAGATATTTTGAGCTAAAGTCGAGACTGAAAATATCTGAAAAGAATGGAATTATATGCTACCAGCTTATTTGTAAGGTAATTCATAAACTCCCTGAAGTTTGAGTACAGAACTTTCACTAGTGAGGTGTACATATCCACCATTTTGTGAAATGCAACACTTTGTTCCAGATGACATGCATCAAGGAATTCGTTATTATTCTCATATCGGAAAAAATTTTCTTATGTACTGCAGCATACTAGAGATAAGGTGTTTGCTTATTCTTATTGGCCTCGGTTTTTTTCGACCTACTCCATTGATAAGTGTAGATACTAAGCAATTATCTCCAGTCATGAATAATACCATGATAACTTCCTTCTTCGCTAACTATCACTACCCTTAAACATTGAAGAAAGTTTGAATCAGTTTATTTTACCTATAGTTTCCATTCTTATACTATTTAAAAACTCATTCAGAAAGAATTACAGTAAGAAATTTTAGATTGAGACAATGAACAGTACTCTCGCAGCAGTTACAGCTAAACACAACATATAATACGCGAAGCAAACACTTTTTCTAATTGAAAAAAAGACATCAATAGTCCTGTTGCGTTATCTCATTTACCTAAGGAACCAAATATCTGCAAAACTGTTCAACTTCGATAATTCTGAGAAATGACAGTAGCGAAAACTTAGACATATTTTAACGGTGAGTTTTCAGTGATAATAAGTTACGCATACCAATGATTGCCCAAAGATTAGATAATATAGATAAAATTTTCTTTTACCTTCCTTAAATCACTCTTGAAGTTCCATGTCAATAAAAAGTCGAAATGCTTTCAGTAACTTTGTGCACATTCTCGCACTAGGCAATGAACCACACCTCTTGTATGAGAGCCAGTGATACTGCCTGGCTTCTTGAAACTTGATATGTGGAGTGGTTTTCTGAACTCATGACCCACTGGTTGAAATTCAGTTACCAAAACCAATGAGCTATAGTTCCAGTAAACGCTCCACATGGACAATCGGAAAATCATGAATATCTAAATTACCCTTAGGTACGTCTGACTTCACAGGAATCGACCTACTCTCTGGAGGTCATCTGGCTGACTTGGAGTATGGAGATGACATTTTCTTGCTAGGTAAAGATACTGACAAAATGCAGGGTGTTCTGAACGCCTTCAGAAGAAATCTAAGTATGCTTGGCATGCGTTTCGTTGCACCTACCAAGTTTAAGATGATTCTCCAGGACTGGTCTGCTGCAGATACTCCCAGTATCAAAATAAAGAGTGAGGTTGTTGAATGCATCCACCACTTCACTTACTTGAACATGTAATGCATATACCATGTCACCACCTACCTCGATCCACCATGCTAAGGGAATTTGGATTAAGATGGAATGAGGTTCACAGTTACTTGACCAAGACATCTCGCCAATCCATCAAGTCCTTGTCATTTGGTCCGAGCCATGTTTGGAGATGCAGGCTCCGTGATTGAGATTCCCAGGATGATAAAAATCGGTGGTTATAGAACTGTCGGTGATATGGCTAAAGATTGATCGTAATAGGCGCAGATGCACCCACTATTTGATGTCTTCTAAAGCTTGAATATTTGTACTAAGCTTTATTTTCAAACTGCTCATTTTCACACGACTTTGTCTTCTTTGATACCAATCTTTTTCTATCCAACAGTTCTTTGTATACCACCGTGAAGTGTGTCAACTTAAACCAGTACGCTTATGTGCGAGGTTCTACGTTGAATTCGTCTGTCTGTGTGTCACTCCATCTTTAGGAAACACAATTACCTTCAGGAATCATACTGATATCAGTTCGACAAAGATATTACTTCACATGTGATAGGTGATTAAAATTTCATACCACTCACCCTCTGTTTTAAATATAAATTAGTTTGCTGAGGTATAAGTAATTACTATGCTATATATATTCTGTTTATTTACAGTCTCGTGCACTTAAAAAAACGTAATCATAAAACGTAATTCTTGTCTAACTCAGGCAACGGAAATGAAATTGTAACATGTGCACTTACGAAAATGTTGCTTTTGCATACAGATCACGAGTAAAACTACGAAATTCTACTGTATTCACATATTTGTCAGGTAGATTAGTTAGTATATTCGGTTTGAGGCAACATTCCGAAACTACAGATTTACAAGCATGTCCGCTGCATCGATTGGATATGTCTATATGAGATGTGAAGAATAGTATACAGCTGAAAATCACTTATAATGATTGTTTAAACAGAATAATATAAAATGATAATCAATTGATTAAAAATAACTTTTACCTATCCTGAACTGACATGATTTGAAGAACCGACAAGTATTACAAGTTACTAAAGAGTTGCTTCGTCTCAATTCGGGACTCATTAGTGTTGATCACTTCTAATATTACTACGGTTTCACCCTTAGTTCTTCATTTCTTAGAGACAGTAGGTTGATATATCATAAAACATTTACTGACTTGTGTAGCAATTTAATGCTTGTTGTTGATTCACTTCAGAAAGTGTACTAACCTGATTAAGTTTTTAAAGATATCTTGATAAAAAAAAATGATCTTCATTAGTACCTATTAAATATAACGCCAGGAAACTTATTTCTTTAAGTTGAAATGATAACTACATTAGATTTGTTTATTTGATATATAGCGCACTGTGCGCTATATATCAAATAAACAAATCTAATATGGAATTACATTCTACCACAGTGATCAAGTTTTACACTTATATTAATGAAATGATGACCAGTAGATTCTGATCTACCGTCAAGATGTGAATTTCAAGGAATCATATCTTGCAGTGGTGAACAGATGCACAGAAATGAAGAATATCAAAGGCTTTTTAAATATTGAACACCTGTTGATGAGAATCATCTTTACTTTGAGGGTAGTATTCATCACGAAGTGACGTCAGTAGGAGAACCATTGAAAACGTAAGAAAGTTAAACATCTGTTTTATCCTCAACATCACAAACTTATAACAGTACCAAGGTCAAACTTACGACCTTCAGATCATGCGAAGAACGCCTTAGTCATCCGGGTAACTGGGTCAGAGTTCAATGGTCCACATTTTCCTACTTCTGTCAGTTCCCGACACAAAGCGATTCGAAAATAGCTTCCGCTTCACTTCTGACTTGTCAACTCTGTTTATCACGGTTTCTCATTAGGACTACCAGATATGCATCTCGAAGCATCGAAATAGTGAATTGCTGCGCTATATCGCGATTTAATTGAAGTAGGAAACTGTGGACCATTCAGCTTCGACCTAGTGAGTGAATGGTTCGCATGTCCATCATAAAACCTGAAGGCCATGAATTCCATCACGGCAGGGTTGTGGGTGCGTAAAACTAAGAAGTCCCATACTCAAGCTGAACAGCTGTCCAGTGTTCCCAGGTTTTCAATAGTTCTCCAACCGATATCAGTCGGTGATGAATACAACCTTGAAATAAACGAAAATCCCATACATCTCAAACTAGGTTATCTTTAACTTTGTCGAAATCCCTCAGAATTATAAGAACTCTTGTTCGTCTAATACACTTATCTATCTCTACTAGAAACCATCCAATCAATTTTCGCATCTCTGGTTCATCTTCACATGATAATTGTTTTCAACAGCTTTGAAGAATGTAACTTTGGTTAGATGTTTTAGGACAGTATAATTTCATATGGCTCATCATAAACAAGTCCTATTTTCATTTAGCCTCGATTAGAGACAAACAGAAATGGTAAAGAGTTAAAAAATACAGCGAAAATCAAATAAATTTACCTGGTTCGATGATTACCTCTAGTGTACTGTTCCTCATTCCATTCAATGGTAACACATTTTCATTAAATTGAACTTCATTTACTTTTAGACCACAAATTAGTGAGTTTATAAATTCTATAAGATTGTTTAAAAGCAAGCGAATAATTAAGATAATAGAACATAACTTTGAAGTAGAAATGGAATTGAAACACGCAAAATATATCCATATACGAATAAACATTTATTGAATTGTCAACACTCTTCAAGGTTCTATAAATTGTTAACATTATTTTTGAAACAAATTATAATCCATTTAATATATACGAAATACTTTTGACAATGAGATAATATTTCACTAGGAAAATCTGAACAAAATAATTGAACAAGTGTATAGAATTCCTCGATGGTCATATCTACGAAGTGATGAAAGGAAGAGAAAAAAAAATATTCACGATTAAGTGAAACAATAATAAACATGATTACCTTTCTCTTTTATTGAACTGAAACCATTCCATATATTATATAAAAATGTTATCCTATTATATGGAATAGCTGAGATATATGTAAACTCTCTTATCATAGTATGTGTGCCATTTACAACATGTTCAAAGCTAGAAGTAATAAATAGTAAAAATGAATAAGGTAATATAAAACAAGAAAATAATATTAGTAGAACTCACTATTTTGATAAAAATAATTTAATATTTATTACATCTCCAGATTCTTTTAAATATAGAAGTTGTTTGATAATATCTTGTATATAAACATTCAAATCATTTGAAGCTATAATTAACATTAAAAGATTATATTTATACGCGAAATCATACGAAAACGATGAAGTGGTAGATCGTTGAAAGTGCAAAGAGAATATATTAACGATGACATATCTTTTGCATAGAATTCATTCACTATGAAATAAATAATAAAGATAAACAAATAAGATGTTATTTAGAAGGAATACGTTAATCAGTATACATTCAAAATAATTAGTCTCTTTTATGAATTTAGATAGTGTCATTAGAGGATGAAGTTTATCTGAACAGTGTGATATATTTGTGTAATACATTTTGAATAAATGAATCACACATTTACTTATCAAGTCAATTTATATAGAATCAAAGAACAACCAAGATGATAGGGGATTAAAATTAAGAGAGATGAGAATATTTTTTTTTAAAAAAAAGTGTGATATCGTTGATTTGCATCTTTTGTTATATTTGTCCTCCTATTCATTCTTCAGTTTTGACTTGACAAGCAAATGCGCAATCAGATTGTTCAAAATGTATTACACAAATGTATTAAATTGTACAGATAAATATAGTCTTCTAATTACACAATCTACATTAGACATTCTCCGAATTTCAATTTAATAGTAGAAGGGACTAGAGGGTTTTAAATAAACATATTCCATAGTAAACTTATGTTCGAGAAACTATGATTTGTTATTGATTACTAATAACACGAAAACACATGTATTTCTTAGCTTAAATCCAATACGCCTTTAGTATAAAAACGAACAACAAATTCTGTTCGGCAAAAACAAGATATTCAGCGAAGAGGACTCTTTTCAACAAATTCATTCTCAAGCTGTACATTCGTATATATATGTATATATTTAAAAACTGTATTCCATGAGGAAGATTTACCTTCAATAATGGGAGGTTGAAATAACAATAATAGTGGTTATAATAATAATAATGTTGCTAGTTGATGGCGTAAAGGTTAAATGATAACAAAAGGGGTTACATAAGATTTCGAAATCGCTTATAAAGTGCATATCGATTAAAAAGTGGTAAAAACGTGGTAGAGTTAATAAACAATCTAAGGATTAGGTAATATGAATGGGACAGGTTAATTGAAATAAATTGGAAATGTTTTGTTCAAAGCTGCAATTATTAGAAGGATCAAATGAAATAACACCGGAAACAATTCAATATAAAAATAAAGTGACAATGACGGTATAAGAGTAAAAAGATTAACCTGATAGAAAAAGGAAGGTAGAAAAAACAAAAAAGGAACTAGTCACACCAGGACCAAAATAAGTTAAGGCCTAGGTAGAGACAAAGACTGTACATACTTCTTTTGCACACAAAGGTCAGGCTTAGGTTCATGGATAGCTAAGGCCTCTGCTAGTTTTAGAAACTGAACACGAAGGAAAAGTGAGGCGCCTGAGCGAATTCGATAGACAACCTTAAAATCATTTTTTGGGTCGGTTGAATGGCTGGAATCAATTAGATGCTCAGGGAGAGAACTTCTGATGCATTTTCTTTCAACTTTATAAAATCAGGCTGGAATATGTTCTCGTATACGTGTTGACAACAATCTCTGACTGCGGCCGATGTACCATGCTCCAAAGGAGCAGGTGAACTGGTAGATGCACATGGATGTGACTTGTCCAGCTTGAGAATAAATCCGTTGAAAAGAGTCCTCCTCGCTGAATATCTTGTTTTTGATGTCACAATGGAAATTCTATTCAAAATGTTATCTATTAAATAGTGCTATTTCACTGTATGAAATATCCAACAAACAAACTAGCACAAAATTAAGCATTACCACATTGTACAAGTTTTACTTGACACACAAAACAAGGCAAGTCAATTGATCTAGAATTTTCCGATGTGGATTTTAAAGATACTATATCAATAAATAAAACAGAGTCACAGTCACGACTGAGAATTTAATAATCGTCTATTGACATTTGCATAACTGTTGAATGACTGTACGTTGCATGACATATGATTTATAGTTGTATTGTCAAGGTTATCGGGGAGACTATTCTATCATGAAAATAACAAATACAAGTCATCCGATTTGCTAACATTGGAATTCATTATTCCGTTATCCTTAAGAGATAATCATCATTTGATTTTATTGAAGTGATAAGCATCAAATCACGAATAAGCACGTATTTGGTCAATTAAATCTAATTTTTGTTTAACTGGACACTATTTCAGGATTTTCATTCACAAAATAGTTTAGAAAACAATTACAGGCCATCACTAATGGGCTTCCTTACCATCTACTTCAATTCGATAACATCACTGAAGAAGTAGTTATGATTTAATATCGACAACAAGATTTTGTGAAACAAAAGTGTCAGCGTAAGTTGCTATAATTTGCGACAACATTGAAAAAGGAGCCAAAGAAATAGGAAAATATTATACTAATTAATAATAAGAATATAAGCGGACTGGATGGTAAGAAACCAAGAATTACCATGTTTAACATTGTAAATAAGTGAGATGAATATTTTGATGACTTTGTAATCAACTCTCAATCATATCAAATACCATTCCCAAATGTCAACTCTTTTCATTCTGTGGTTACAGTCAGGTAGCCTACAATAATATAATGAACCTTGCGAATTCCAGTAGAGTAAATTTTACTGAGTTTAATTAGTAGGTGTATAACACAGTTAAGCAGTACGACTAAGTTAATAATATTTCAGATGCAATTGATTATACATAACAAAAATACCTAAGTGACCAAGGACACAAAATGGTAACTGGAAAGTCACATATACAGACATAATCAACGTAGAAATGCTCAGTATGCAAGTTTATCGGTTCAAGTTGCCATACTTCACAGTAGTACATGAAAAACAAGTGGGTAGAAAAAGAGTTATATGAAAATATAGGAAGTTGTGTGGGAGAATAAACGATCTGAACATAAAGATTAGTGGACATATTCAAGCTTTAGAAGACGTCAAGGAGTAAATACATTTGTGTTATATGATCCCTTCTAACTGGTCTACATTACTGATTATTACAGTCTTCAAGAAACGCGAGAAGTCCTCTTGTGATAACCACAGAGGAATCAGCCTAACGAACATAGTGTTCAAGATTCTAGGTCCCATAATCATTAGACGGCTGAGTGGAGCTCGGCGACAGCAAGCCCGAGAAAAACAGGCAGGCTTCAGAACTGGTCGTGGGTGTGTCGACCAAATATTCACACTTATCTAGGTTCTGAAACACAAGCACACTTATCGACACCCGACAATAGGTTTACTTCTAGACCTGAAGGTGACATTCGACCCGATCGATTGAAAAGTCTTATGACAGCTTCTGTCATTGGAAGAGGTGGCGAGTAAGTTCGTCAACCTATTGAAGGCTCTTTACTCGAACACCTGTGGGCATATTAGGGCCTATGGTGAGATGTCAGGTGAGCTATGTACGTCGAGTGGTGTCCGTCAAGGATGCCCACTCTCTCCATCCTTGTCCAGTTTTATCATAGATGTTCTTTTGGAAGTACCGCCTTGTCATCTGACTATACAGGGATTGACGCAATCACAGCAGAATTTTTGTTAGAATACGCAGGCGACATAGTCCTGTCAGGTGATGCTGACAAGATGCAGAGTCTTCTGGACACCTTGAGTAGCAACTTGAGAATGTTTGGGATGCGTTTCTCGTCACCCAAGTATAAATTGTTACCCAAGGACTGGTCTTCGACGGTACCCCGACAACAATAGAGAGTGTAATAATTGAGCGCGCAGAACACTTCACTCAAGTGGAAAGTCGGATCAACCCTGGTGAGTCAGTGGCCGACAAAATTTCTGCACGGGTACCAAAGGATTGGTTGGTTTTTGTCAGCTTAAGTTGTGTATGGCGCCTCCGCGATATCCAATTGTCTATCAGGGGTAGGCTGTACTGTGCTGCCGCTCTGTTCTACTGTATGGCTGTGAAACATGGCCATTAAGGGTAGAATACATGAGAGGGTTTCACGTCTTTGACCATCACTGCCTTCGTGGTGTCACACGTGAGTAACGTAGAAGTCAGACGTGGAGTTTCAGAGAAGAGAGGTAAGACAGTTGGTACGGTTGTGAACCTTCATCGAATGAGATGAATGGGACATGAGTTATGTTTACCCAGCCACTTCTTCGCACAATGTTTGCCGAAGTAGGTTTAGGCTAGAAAAAGGCTCAGGATGGCCAGACTAAAAAATGGCATCAATGCATGAAGTCCTTGACTGTTTTTTTGAGCCATGTAGGACAATGTAGACTAGCCGGTTGGGGTCTAAAAGACAAGAGAAAACAGTGGTTGGAGACTGTAGGTGATATGGCTCAGAACCGATATCAGTGGCGTGAATGCATACACACACTATCCCCATCTTAACCGCTATACTTAATCACATTGTTTTCATATTCCTCCTTCTTCACTTTTACTACCCCTCTTAACTGATTTTTCTTCCCTTCTTCATCTTCCATTTTATTACCTTGTTACTTGATGTACTATGTGGTGTGACAACTTGGACCGCTAAGCAGTAATCCTCGGTCCAATGTTGGTTGTGATTATGACATCTGTGCTACTGTGACCGATTTTCAGCCAGGTCGCTGAGAGTCCTCAATCACTGGTTTCTATCATCTCAGAGACCGGAAGGTATTGCAGCCAATAATCTTACTTCACTATGTGGTGTTTCGAAAAAGCAAATAATCAAGATTCTAGTTTCCATTATCATTAGAGTTCAAAGAACAAACCTGAGGAAACTAGACAGGCTTTAGGCTTGGATGTATTTACCAAAGTATAATTCTGTGACGAATCATGGTTCAAAGGTGCAATTACTTACACCCAACACTGGGTGCATTTCTACATTTGACTCTGTCGATCGAGATTCTTTATATAAGTGTCTATCACTGAAAGCAGCGGTGGGTAAATGCATCACTATACTTAGGGTATTTGAACACCAATAGATGTGTTAGAACTAATGGTAAGGTACCAAAAGTTGTGTACGTTAAGTGGTATCCACCTACAATATCCACTGTCTCCATTTTAATTTAAATGTATCATGTACGCATACGGAGGTCTGTCTCTTTGTCTGAGTTTACAGAAGACTCCTTAGTAGGTCCAGAGTACGCAGGTAATATAGTCTTGTTGAGCGAAGATGTAGAC